CAGGTGGTACTTTGGGATGAGCAGATCAGTGCTTCCTGATGTTCTAAGACCAGCTTCATGAACGGTTTCTCAAACATGTTTAGTACAGCTGGGTTGCAGGTTCCATCCCGGCCCCAGTCCCACGCGTGTGCAGGAGGCAACCACCAATGTCTCTCTTTCACATTGATGTTTCTCTCTCTCCCTTCCACCCTCCCACCTGCTCTAAAAACCAATAGAAAAAAACACCCTTGGGTGAGGTTAACAAAAAACACAAAAAATGTGTTTAGAACTCTGCTTTCAGTGGGAGTGATGAGGCGGCCTGGGGGAGGAGGGGTTAAGGGAAGGACACAGAGGAGGTCAGTACTTTCGAGTGAAACACTTCCCCCACTGGGAGCGCGCACGGGTCGGACCCCGCAGGGGGAGGCAGGACGGCTCCTCCCGGCCTTCCTGGCTCCTCAGTTATTTTGCCTCCACCGCTCCCGTCTCCTCTGCTGCTGCGTCTGCCCTGCTCCTCGTCGCGGGAAGGTGCAGAGCACTGCACGTCCAGCAGCTCCCAGCCCTTCCAGTCACTGCGCCAGGCAGCCGGCGGGGAGGGCCAACCGGCCGGGCACACCTGCGCGTGGCAGGCGGCAGCGAGGCGCAGGCGGGTTTTCTGTCCTTTGTAAGCGCCGCACAACACCTCACAGTGTGAACACTGGGTCAAGGGTGCATGGAGGAGAGCGGTGGTCCCAGGGAGTGAATGTAACCACTTGGCTGCGTTCTCCGGCTCGTTTCTTCATTTCTTAGGCTCCATTTCTTGTCTGTTGTTAATCCTCACTTGAGGATATTTTCCCATTGATTTTGGGGGGGGAAGAAACATCAATCAGTTGCCTCCCGAACCCGCCTTGACCAGGCCCGGGCTCGAACCTGCAACCTGGCCCATGCCCTTGTGCCCTAGACCAGGAATCGAACCCCTGACCCATCAGTGTGCAGGCCGACGCTCTAACCACTGATCATACCAGCCAGGGCATAGTCTCCATTTCTTGAATGTTGGCTACCCATTTAGAAAACAGATACTTAGAGGTAAGCCTAGAAAGTTTTCCTAGAAAATTTAAAATATTTTATCTCCAGAATTTGTACTATGCTCAACCTTTAAAGAATGTCTCTTTCATGCACAGCACGGATGACCCTGCGTTCCTTCCTGATATCCACAGTCCACTTCTGTACGGGGTGTTGATGGACCCGTTTGTGAATGGAAAAGGAACTCTAAATGTAATTTATTACTTGACTTGACTTGAAAGTTCACTTTACAGAAAATTTTCCTGGGGCTCTATTGTGGGGTCTCTGCTTCAGCGACTGTGTCTTTTGGGTGACAGACACTCCTTCATGTGCTTCGAAAAGGACGGTCTTCCTTCTGAACTGGCCAGAGAAGCTGCCTGTTTCCTTCCGGAATCAGAGTAGCAAAAGGCTCAGGCTGGGACTGGGCCTCCCAGCCAGCTTTGTCCTCGGAGGAAGCCTGATTCCCTGAGCTGTTCCCCTCAAAGCCCCCACTTCCTGAAGAAACAGGACTGTGACCCAGGTTTCTAAGATCAGGAAACTGGAGTGTGTTTGCTGTCGCTGATGTCAGCGTGCTCAGTCCCGGTTTTGAGAATAAATCAGGTGTTTGCATGAAGAAGCTGATTGTGAAACTGACAGAAACACATCCGTGCTCAGTTTCCAAGGCCAAACTAGTGCAGGAGGAAAGGGACCCGTCTGCCCTAGGCTGGTGTTAGCCCTCAGATGTACATAAAACTGAAATTTAGAATTGTGCTATCAATTTTTTGATTTCAAGTATTTAATTGTTTGGGGCTTAATCTGGATAAAATTTCACATCACAAATTGTGTAGCGTGAAATCTTAAAAACAGGTTATGTTAGTGATTGTGTTTTCATCAACTTCCTGATCGGAGTGTCTGGTGGTGGCTTAGCCCGCCCCGCCCTCGCTGGACTGCCTGGCATGGCTTCCAGAGTGCTGGCACCCCCTGCTGGCCAGTCCTGGAACCAGTCTCATAACCAGGAGGCGTGGGGAGACCACAGGCGAAGGAGCGCGAACACTGCAGAGTGGTGAATCTGAGAGGTCAGGAGAGTTCTCTGGGAGTCTGAAGGAGACCAGGTCTCCCAGCCTCTCATGTGGGGAAGGCTTTGCAGAGCAGAGGACATGTGCCCCACCTTGAGGAATGGGTGGGAAATGGGTGGGGTTTTGTCACACAGGAGCCTGGAGGTGGGGGCAGGTCAGCAGGAAAAGTTCTCCCAGCTACAGGCGGCACTGTGTGAGGGTAGGGCTGTGTTTGGGTAGCATGGGCCTGTTCCGGGGGTGGGGTGTCAGTGTGAGGGTGTGGGGGACTCACAGGGTACAGGACCAGCAAGGTGGGCTGCTCAGCTCGAGGAAGATCTGTGCACTGAGTTAAAATGCATACACTGTAGTTCCCAGAGGCCTGAGCATGTGCCTCTTGCCCTTCTCCAGTTTGTTTTGTAAGATGGACTACCAAGAAGGCAGGGTTGCCAGATAAGTACAGCTAAGGCTGAGTTTCAGATAAACAGTGAGTCATTCTTTAGAAGTCTGTCCATACTATTACATTATTCATTGTTTATCTGCAGCTGAAATTTAAATAGGCATCCTGTGTTTTATTTGCTAAATTTGGCCACCTTGAAAGATCAGTGTAGAGTGGAATGTATTTATCTAATGGAATATTATCCTTGGAGGTTATTAACCCAGCCACAGGTTAAACATGCATTAAATCAAAGATGTAACCAAAATTATGTTGTCAGACCAAAGATGCAAGAATTATAAACCTCTATACTGACTTGAGATTAAATTACATTTTACAACCTGTAAAATGAGTGTAGATATGCCATATGCTCTCACCATGCAGGAGGCTAATCTCCCTGCAGATGTGCCTGCAGAACATAAAGTACTAGTGCTGGAAGCTGACTGAAAGACCAATAGTCCAGCTGTAATAGAAGCTGAAACACAATACTAGTTCTGCTCATCTTGGAGTCATGCAGCACCTTGTGGGCATGATTTACAAACTATCTCTGTAAAGCTTTATATAT